TTTTATCATTACATTATGGAAAATAATGACCTTTATCACAATATGCTAATTTTTTGAGGACCTGTATATCTATGGTCTCCATGCTAGCAGGCTGGCTAACTAGATTGCTGTACGGTGGCCTACACGGCTCAATTCTACAGCGGCCGAACGGGGAGTAGGAGCAGAAAAAATATAAAACTTAAATGCATTTTAAAATCGATTTATGGACCTTTAGAAATGATTCAGAATCGCCAGGACTAAGAATCTAGATTAATCGAAAAATTAAAAAAATTCTGCACCCCTATTTTTAACGTTTGTCATGTACTGTATCTTAGATCTTTCAGCGTTTGGCATTCGTTTAGCACAGGGGTGTCAAACTCACTTACAAAAGGGGGCCAAAATTAAAACCTTTTTCAAACTAAGGGCCAATTTCAGAAACTACATCAACTCAAATTGGATACCCAACGTTTTCATGGTCACATTTTCCTCAGCAAGACTTTGATTGGTCTTATTTGATGTTCTCTAGTGTGTTTTGACATCATAGTTAAAGATTACTGAAGTAAAAATCTTGGTGTTATTTTTGATCAGGACATGTCTTTTATCCCCCACATTAAAAATGTCACTAGAACTGCCTTCTTCCACTTTCGTAATATCGCTAAAATTGGAAACATCTCATCTAAAAATGATGCAGAAAAACTGGTCCATGCATTTGTCACATCTAGACTGGACTATTGCAATGGTTTATTATCTGGGTGTCCAAATACTTCCTTAAAACATCTTCAGTTGATCCAAAATGCTGCTGCCAGAGTCTTAACTGGAGTTACTGGGAGAGATCATAACTCTCCAGTTTTAGTTTCTCTCCATTGGTTCCCTGTCAAATCCAGAATAGAATTCAAACTCTTACTTCTAACCTACAAAGCTCTCAACAACCTAGCTCCATCTTATATTACAGATCTTATTGTTCCATATTTTCCCTAACAGAGCACTTCGCTCTCAGACTGCAGGTTTACTTGTGGTTCCTAGAATTTACAAAAACAGAATGGGAGGAAGATCTTTGCTCCTCTCTTGTGGAACCAACTTCCAATCTCTGTCGGTGAGGCTGACACATTATCCAGTTTTAAAACTAGGCTGAAGACTTTCCTTTTTGATAAATCCTACAGTTAGGGTTGGCTTGGGTTTCCTGAGCTGTCCCTTAGTTATGCTGCTATAGGCTTAGACTGCTGGAGGACAAACTGACCACATTTTTCACTCTGCTACTGTCTTTACTTACTCTGCTCAACCTGTTTTGTATTTGTAATTATTTTTTCTATCCTTAACATGTGGGGGGGTTTTTGTCTTTCAGATACACCTGGACCTATATCTGGACCTGGACCTATACCTGGACCTACCATTCTATGTTCATCTGTCTCTCCTTCCTGTCCTCTCAACCAGCCGGTCAAAGCAGATGGCCTCTTGTCCTGAGCCTGGTTCTGCTGGAAGTTTCTTCCTGTTAAAGGGAGTTTTTTCTTTCCACTGTTGCCACTGTGCTTGCTCAGGAAAAGAGACTGCAACAAAGCCAAGATTCAAATTGTCTGCTGGATTCCTTAGATAAAGAACTTTACTAATTGGCTTTTATGTGAATGTTCCTATAAAGTGCCCTGAGAACACTTTGTTGTGATTTGGCGCTATATAAATAAACTGAATTGAAAATTGAATACAAGTATTTTACGTTTCTCAACTGCTAGAGCTGCTGCCTCTCAGCGAGAAGGTTTCCGGTTCAATCCTGGTCAGGGGGCCTTTCTGGGTGGAGTTTGTGTGTTCTCTCCATGCATGTGTGTTTTTTTTCCAGGTACTCCCATTTACTCCCACAGACCAAAAATGTGCATGTTAGGCTGATTGGTAACTCTAAATTGTCCCTAGGTGAGAAAGAGAGTGAATGGTTGTTTTGTCTTGTTTGTCAAAGTCAGAGTCAGAGTTTCTTTGTCATTCGCATCTCATGTGGTACATGTGGTGGAGCAAAATTATGTACACAGGGTCCCAGTTACATCCAACAATAAAATATAAAAAAAACAGTAATAACATCTAAGATATGAACTAAGAAAAACAACTAAATATACACTAAGCACTCATAATATAAAAACATTACATCGAACATCAGCACAAACATGAGTCTGTGTGAGCAGATGAGCACGCATGAACACATCAACATTGAAACAGATCAGCAGCAACATGAAACAGATCAGCAGCAACAAGATGTGATTTTCTTCAACAGTGATTATTCTGGTTCTAGATTCATGAGTCTAACAGCCTCAGGGTAGAAGCTGTTCCTCAGTCTAGTGGTTCTACACTTAATGCTCCTCAACCTCCATCCTGAGGGGAGTGGGGCAAAAAAGTGTGTGTGCTGGGTGAGTGGGGTCCTTCATGATGCAGGTGGCCCTCTTCCTGCATCTAGAGGTCTAGATGTCTGTGATGGTGGGGAGACCGACTCCGACAGACTTCTGTGCAGCCTTCACCACTCTCTGCAAAGTTTCTATTTCTGTAGCTGTACAGCCTCCATACCACACGATGCTGGAGCACAGGATGCTCTCCACTGCACACTTGTAGAAGGAGGTGAGGACAGAGCTTCCCAGACCAGCTCGTCTCAGCCGTCTGAGGAAGTAGAGTCTCTGATGAGCTTTCTTGATCAGGCTGGTGGTGTTGTTGCTCCAGCTGAGGTTGTCATTCATGTGTACACCCAAGTACTTGTAGCTGGAGACCACTTCCACTACAGATTCTCTTATGTTCAGGGGGGTGTAGATGTTTTTGTTCCTTTTGAAGTGCACAATCATCTCCTTTGTCTTCTTCACATTGATGTGAAGGTTGTTCTCTTTGCACCAGCTCTCCAGGTGTTCCACCTCTTGCCTGTAGCTGGACTCATCATTGTTTGTGATTGATATAAAAATATGTTTTATAAAAATATATTAAATTGCCTTTATGCCTATTCAAACATATATATTTTGTGTGTGTTACTTTTCAGAATTAAATGTCTAAATTGCCATAAAAGGCAAGGGTGGAATGATATAGGAATGATTATTTTTATGCTTTTATGTCAATTAATACTTATACTCACTTTTGATGCAGCTTATCTGCCCAAAGTCAGGCCTGTGCTGCAGATGTGTTTTGGAGTAATTAAAGTCCTCTGGGGGATGCTCTAACCAGAAGACCTGGCCCATCTTAAAGGTTACGGTGACCCAGGTTTTGAAGGACATGTTTTTATGAAGCCATCGCTCTGTTGCACAGACTGCTTTGATGATGGAAAAACAGATTTTAATTAAATCTGTCCTCCTGGCAACCATCAAACTTGTTTTTCACTGCTCTCACGCGATCCGGTCAGGGAAAAGGTATAAAGGAGGTGTGACAGGCAAGGGAATTTTGGAAGTCTTGTGTGGACCAGCGCGCGGTGCCATGCAGTTGTTGATGTGAGTTCTGTCATTTGGATCGAAAGGCTTCCCGATCATTTGTCACGGTGAGAGATACTCATATCAATTTGTGTGTTAAGAGTGTACCAACTGTACATGACTTTGCTTGGCTGTTTTCTTGTGGCAGATTAATAAATGACAATATTATTTCTAGCAAGTTACAGTCCCTTGTGTTTCATTTCCTCTTGTCTGAATATCTGGTGCCGATCGTTCACGAACCCTTTGATAAAGAATTTCATAATACAGTGATGCATCCCACCACTGCTGTATCATCTGCAAAGTTCACCAAGAGACAAGTCCTAGGTTTGTTTCAACTGACAGATTGGACTGGAACCTATTTCATGATTCCACATGCTCCTCCTATGGAGGCAATGTATATTTATGCACTGCTCCTTTACTGTTAATTAACTGGAGGTGTTGTTCGCCCATGGCACCAAAGAGGCTAGGACCGTCCCTGACTATGTTTTATCTTTAGCTGTTAATTTCCATTTGGTTCACCCAGACTCCTCTTGACACAGTGTTTATATCATGATGCCTTCATGGGCCTGGAGAATTAAGGAGAGACAGTGGGGCACTCTTTCACATTTCCTCCATTTAACTCATTTCTTCTTGGCCTCTGATGGCAATTAGCCCCATGCTGACAGGACAACTTCATCAGCATCAACACTGACCTCCTTTTGCTCCCTAGAGGGCAAGTTCGTGCTAATGTTCACTTTGTTTCTGAGTGGGCTTCTCTGTCGGCTTTGGATGGAAAGGAAAGTAATATATTTTCAGTGTGGGGTGAAGTTAAGACTGCATATTTGATAGCATATTTCAACTTTGAGTGGAATTTTAAAAGGATGGCCAAAAGGAGTTGAATACATTATCTTGTCAAACATTTTTTCATTCAACCTTTATTTATACAGATTAGTCTCACCAAGCCTCGAGGACTCATTTACAAGAGAGACCTGTCTCTAGTACTGTCATATTGTCTCTAGACAGTGTGCCGTGTCTAGAGATCTTTCACTTCCTCCAAAAGAAAAAATAGAAAAGAAAATGCAGGAACTTTGCTTATTTTTCTGTCATTCACATAAAAGACAAATAGGTATGGATGCTCAGACAGGCACTGCTTCAATATGTGCTTAAGGTCAGTGGGTTTGGAGTTTACCTGTATGTGATTTTATCTGTGTGTTCATGTCTTTATCCATGTGTGTATGTGTTTGTGCCCTTAGCTGGCAGCCAATATTGTCTGAATCACAAAGGAAGACTCTCATTTATAGAAGTACAGCATAGAAGGGATTGATTTGCATTCAGTCCACGTTCTCAGTGTGAATACTCCCTCTGATGACTTACCTCAGTGACTGCAAAGACTCTCTTTCCGCAGGGTACAACTTTGTACCATTTGTCATGTAGCATGTCCATGATGCCATCAGATTTATAGCGACTCAAAAACTCTGACACGTTACGGGTTAAAGGGGAGCCCTGGGGAAGGCCTATGCCATAGCCTGAAAGAAAAGATAAAAATAGGTAAAAACACATTTTTCCTTAGCAACAGAGCTCAGAACTTCAGCCAAGCCTGAAGAAGAGATGTTCCAACTTAGAGATGTCTGACAGAGAAAGACTTGGCCATAATTTTAAGGTTGTTTTCACACCTGATAGTCAGGTAGACTCGGTTCGGTTGGGGACCAATATTCATAATATTTTGTTTACATTTGAGCTGGTGCGTTTGCATTCACACTGCACTGTGCAGTCGAGCAAACCTGTTAAACCAACCTGTTCCCCCACTTGCCTGTGGTGGCGCTGCACCAAGAACTACTGAAAGAAACACACGAAAACCTCTGAAGACACTTCTTCTAGAAATAAAAACAAAAACGGAGTGGCATCAAGTTTTAGCAGTTTTAGAAGTTGTTTGCCCTGCGTTATACTCCACTTCTTGCTTGTGGAGCGGGGCCCGGTCTGTTTACATTCACAAGGTACTCGAACCATGATGGAGTTCTCGTCTACTGGACTGTGACCTAAGTTTTAGCCCGGGCCAGAGTTCACCTTTTTGTTCCATGACAGAGTTCGATGACACGTTCACACCTCCCCAAACAAACCGGACTTCCTAGGAAAATGAGCTAGAGTTCAATTAAAGTGGACTAAACAGGGCTGGTGTGAATGCACCCCTAGACTTCTTAACAAACAGACCTCAGTCTGTGAGAATCCACAACTTTTCTCCTCCACCATAACCCTCAGCACTGGCTCTCCTCAGGGATGCATGTTGAGCCCTCTTCTGTTTACTCTGCTCACATATGATTGTGCTGCTACCCATCCAGGCTGTCACATTGTAAAGTTTGCAGATGACAGCGGTGGTGGGATGCATCACAAACAATGATGAGTCCAGCTACAGGTATGAGGTAGTACACCTGGAGAGCTGCTGCAAATAGAATACCCTTCATATCAATGTGAACAAGACAAAAGAGATCATTGTGAATTTCAGAAGGAACAAACACACCTACACCCCCCTGACAATAAGAGGATCTGTGGAAGAAGTGGTCTCCAGCTACAAGTACTTGGGTGTACACATGAATGACAACCTCTGCTGGAGCAACAACACTTCCAGCCTAATCAAGAAAGCTCATCAGAGACTCTACTTTCTCAGGCGGCTGAGACGAGCTGGACTGGAAAGCTCAGTCCTCACCTCCTTCTACAGGTGTGCAGTGGAGAGCATCCTGTGCTCCAGCATCAACGTGTGGCATGGAGGCTGCACAGCTGCAGAAAGAAAAGCTTTGCAGAGAGTGGTGAAGGCTGCACAGAAGTCTGCTGAAGTCAGCCTCCCCATCATCACAGACATTTACACCTCCAGATGCAGGAAGAGGACCACCTGCATCATGAAGGATCCCACTCACCCAGCAAACACACTTTTTGCCCCGCTCCACTCAGGAAGGAGGTTGAGGAGCATTAAGTGTAGAGCCACTAGACTGAGGAACAGCTTCTACACATATGGATGACCCGACATAGACTCTGTTGGGCTGTCTGTGTGCCTGTTTAGGTATCGGGTTGGGTTTTAGGTAGTCTCCTCTCTTGGATCAATGTGGGCACCCCCATTTAATGTGGGGTCTACTTCCCCCTGTTGCACTCCCCTCCAGTGGTGGGACCCCCTGCCGCCGATGCATTGGCGGCTCTCGACATCCGAGGCTGGGAGGTGGGGGTATGTGCCGGCCTGCCCAGGTGGCTACCTGCCGGGGCCTGGGTGCCCTGGCTCTGTCGGGCCTCTGTTGGGGGGTGGTATGACTTTGGGACTTGAGGCTGACCTGTCCAGGGTGTCCTTTGTCTCTCGCACAGTGATGGCTGGATATGGGCTCCAACAACCCCCGTAACTCCAGAAGGGACAAGCGATTAAAGATGATGCATGGTTGGAAGGATGGACGCAGATATGTAATAATATCCATGAGAAATTAAGAGTTTGTAAAGAGTAAAATCACCTCCTGAATGAGTTGAGTGTATGGTTAAAATAGCATAAATCATTTTGAAGTAGTTTGATATAAAAAAGGCAGACCACCACCAACCCCAAAAAAGGAAAAATGACTACTATTGACTACTATTCTTATTCTGTCCCTGAAGAATCCTTCTACTGACTAAGATAAGTGGGTTAGAACCAAAACTTTTGGAATATGCAATATATCAAATTAACTGAATTTTTACATCAAAGTCACATTCAAACAATGCATGTGTGCAAATACAAAGTAGTATGTGACTGGAATGATTCAAAACTTACAATAAAAGCAGGGACATTTTCTTTTCCCAAGTGATAAAAAGAACCAGACATTTATTAAAGTGAGAACTTAATCTCTTTTTGGCAGGTCATCTGCAACGTTTTCCTCTAAAGTGATATAATTCACTTCTCTTTTTGTGTGTACATATCTCCTCAAAGGATCCAATCACTGCTGCGGCACTGCAATACCTCTTATTACTTTTCTAATTGTGAGAGGCTATAAAACCATACAAAGTGATCAATTACTGTATTAAAACAAGATTTATTGTTAGAGATTCCTCATTAGGATTCGAGTATTAAATCTGTTTAAAACTAACCTTCACTGAGGGAGCAGAGGAAATTATATTCCTCTGCACTGAAAGATCTTGTGGTAATCTTCCAAAATTTTGTTTCTGAAGTGCAATATATAAGAGCCTATGAAATTAGCAGTCCTTGAAGGACTACATTATGCCTGCTGCACTACAGAAGGTATTCAATACCCATCTTGGGCAATTTGATAGTGCCTGGAGAATGTGCTATGAATGACTCTCAGCTACTACATTACATTTTAGCTCAATACCTGTAAAACTGGCTCAGCTATAGACACTGTGGTGTTGCTTTATTTTAGCTGTGGTGACATCTTAAATCAGGTTAACTTCAGAAGTTAAATAAATAATGCACTTCCAATTATTACCATGGAAAATGTTTATTCAAATCCAACAAGTGGTTCATGAGATGTTTTGCCAACATCCTGTATAGGATGAACATACATCATGAAGACATGCTTTCCTCTATTTTATTTCCAGAGTTGTAAGATGAGAACTAACATATGTGTCTTCAATGATATGATAAGCTGCTGCTTATTTTGTTCAGAGTAAAAAAAATAAACAATAATAAAGAAACAAGTTATAGTCATTTTAATGTTGGCTTATGCCAATTTAATGTTGTGGTCATGGCCATCTTGAAATGAGTAATGAGTCTTAGATCGACTCCAAACGTTCACTTATGGACAAACATGCAATGATTAATTTCTGAAAGATTCATTTAAATTTGTCCAGTGTTTGACATATGACCTGAAAGATTAAAACAGACACAGAAAAGGAAAAAAACTTTGTCCACTTTCGCCTTTCAGCATCAGACAATAAAAAAGGAGTTATAACTATCTACCACCCATAAAATCTCTAGAGTGGAAACCAAAAAAAACACTTTAGTTAAATTGCACAAGTAAAGAAAATATTCTAAACAAAACATAAAAGGCAGAAAATTTTAATTACAAAATATCCTGCAGGATGACTTCAAGTCAACACACACATTCCTTAAGAGTCACACAAAAATGTGTGTGTGTGTGTGCGTGCGTGCGTGCATGTGTGTGCGTGAGTCTAAACAGTGTTCACCTTCAATAGCAAAAGGTTTCCCCACTGTGAGCAGTTTGCAGTCTGCATCAATGGAGACCTCAAAGTCCAGCAGAGCTTTGTCCATGATGAAAGCATCCAGAGCAGGAGGATCTGTCCTTCAACACACACACACACACACACACACACACACATCAAAACAAATACACAAAGGAATAGTTGAAGTTTATTAGACTGGAATTGGAGCAAATATGAGCGTAAATTAAATTAGATTAACGTTCCCACATTGATTCTGTTCCTCAGCCATCCTGAATTTGAGGTTTTCATGGCAGTTGGTCATTTATGGAGCGGATTAGATTAACTGTGCTATAATACACCAAGTGAACACATACATCACCATTGAAATCAACAGCCTCTGTATTCATTCATTCAAGTTTATTTGATCAAGGACAGCACAATAAACAATGTTACATGATAAAACCAAAGCAACCGTTGTTTTGTATGAAAGTTTGTATCAAAGTGATAAGACTTTAAACACTCTGGAGAGGAATATTTCTAATGATAATGATGCACTTCAGAATCAGAATAAACTCCTGTATGTCTACAAATCACTGAACAGTCCCCCCCCACCCCCCCCCAATCTCTCTGATCTGCTAAAACCATCCGACCACGTTCCCTGAGGTCAGCGGACCAGTTGCTCCTCACAGTTCCAAGAACTCGTCTTAAGCGCAAAGGTGACAGGGCCTTCTCTGTAGCAGGACCAAGACTCTGGAACGAGTTACCTCTGCTTGTCAGACTGGCCCCTCCCTCTCGGTTTTCAAGTCTTGTTTAAAAACTCACTACTATTCAGTAGCTTTCAACACCAGAGGATCTGTGTTTTGAACCTGTATGTTCCACACTGGTTAGTTGTCATATTTATTATCTGCATCGTTTTTATGTCTATATTTCTGATTTACTTCATTTTGTATTTTGCTTTGTGTGTTACCTGTTGTTTATGTCTGTACAGCACTTTGGTTGGCCTTGTTGCTGTTTTAAGTGCTATATAAATAAAATGGTATGGTATGGTAAGGTATGATTTGGGTGGAATAATACCAGGCCCTGGAAGAACAAGCAAAGATAAACCAAAAATAACTATGCAATCCAGGTTGACGGACCTTGGACAGAAAAGTGTGGAACCAAGCACAAGCAAGGCTAGCAAAAAAGCTAACAAGGGCCGAGTAATAGCAAGGAAGCTAACGTAGGGCCAACAGCTAACATGGACGAAAGGAATATCTCATCCAAAGACAGAGTAAATACTTGGAGCAATAAAGAGCTTAAAGTCCAAGTTTTCTGGAAGATTCAATGGCATTATGACAGCCATAGAAACAGTGTGAAAAGTGTTTTCTACCTGGATTATTGAGCATGCATCAGGATAGTGTGAAAAGAAGTGGGTGAGTGTGCCAAATGTTTAATGCAGACAGAAGAATGTTTATCTACAATGGAAGACTAGCAAATGTTGTTAATTAACAATGTTAAGAGCTTGGAAAAAAACAAACAAGCTAATGGAGGAAAAAGTGGTTGATATGGAGATGAGATTACTGCTCAACAACCTTAGATTGGTGAACCTACCTGAAGGTGCTGAGGGCTCCGATGCCTGTGGGTTTTTGGAAAGTTGGATACCAGAAGTATTGGATTTGCCTGCCCTGAGAAACCCACTGATTCTTGAAAGAGCTCAGTGTACAGGTCCTTCTCAAAAAATGAGCATATTGTGATAAAGGTCATTAT